ATATATATATATATATATATATATATATATATATATATATATATATATATATATATATATATACATATTTTATGTTCAAGATATACTTATTATTTTATAAAATAATAGAAAAAACGTAATTTGACATATTTATTTTAATATGAGATATTTAATACATATTATTTGTGAAAAATGTATTTAACGTTGATTGCGATAGCTTAACTGTAATTTATTCGACGTCACAGCAAGTTTTAGTGAACACATGAGAAATTGTACAGGTAGTCGAAAATAAACATAGTATTATTTTCATAATCTTACTATTTCGAAAAATACCCACATACACTACGATAAATATCGATTATCCTCATGACTGATTACACAAACGCAATGTTTTTTAATTATTAGAGAAATTACAGCTTATCGCCATCTTTCCCGGTATGGCCATAATTCCCGAGTTTATCTTAGTGATTAAAATCAAAATTCCTTTATCTGGATTCACCAGCGACCCAACACAAGCGCGGTTTCGCTTTTGTATATGTCATAGCGCCGGATAATTATTATGGTACCGGGATATGAACCTAATAAAAGCCCTATGTGTGCACACATAAAGATAGCACCAGGTTAAGATATGCGTGCCGCCGCAACATGATTCGTGCATTAGATTGTCAGCGTAAATATCAAAATTTCGTTGCTTTCTACTGAATTTCGGTCTACGCGATCAACAAAGTCGATAAATGGACAATGCGACTAACGTAGGTGCATGTGGGGGATTAACCAGGATGCCAGATTATGTCGAATATATTGTACCCAGGAGAGATACACCAAAACACGCTACGAAGTTACCGAACTACTACCGCGACTGTAAACACCTATAAGTCTAATTTATCGACAGCGGCTGAACATCACGCCATCATGAATGTGATCACAGCCGGAACGAAGGTAAGAGGAACCATTAATTCTCTGAAGCGCGTTATCACTGGTTTATTAAAAGCGTACGACAAAGCGAAACAAACAAACACGTGCTGTAAATGTCACAATTAAAGCAATGTGCTATTGATTGTACGACTTGATTTAAAGTAATTTTATTAAATCAAATTAAGTTTCATCAACGTCATTTATTACAAATTGTGTATATCCGTCTAAAATTAAATGTTCCATTTATCTTCACGTCATTAACGGAGATATTATTCAGTAGGAGACAGAAAAATCAACTAAACCGTTACTTAATTAATATTATCGAAACTAATTGTAATAAAACTAATTTCTTTCATTTCTATGTAAAGCAAGCATTACCGATGCATTTGAATATTTTATATTACGAGATTACACATACGAGAGTCGAAATAACTTTTATTTATGTTGAAAGTTTCAATGGGATCTTCTAACTTTTTAGCTACGAATTTTATTTTTTAACAATAAAATTTTGTTTTACTTTCACCTTATATACTTATTTACTTTCTTAATGTATTAAATACACTAATATTATTATATAATGTAGTTTTAGCAAATATTATTATATAATATAACAAAAAAAGTTAAAAGTTTTATGTTTGGCTCTAAAGAGATATAACCGGGATATTAATATCCCAGTAGAATTACTGGGAAGATATATTTATCCGAAATTATGTATGTTCATCTAATTAAATATTCTATTTATTTTCACATCATTGACAGAGATATTTAGTAGGAGACAAAAAAATCAATTAAACTATATTATATTATGTATTATATGTATAAGTATAATTGTCCGATTGATATATATATATATATATATATATATATATATATATATATATATATATAA